TCGCCCTCCGTTCGCGGGTTAAGAAAGAGGCGCGAGCGCGTGAAAGGAGGGAAGGAGCCCGCCCCGCCGCTTTGGGGGAGTGAGTGAGTGAAGAACGCGCCTGCGCGAAGGGAGGCTGCTGGTGGGAGGGGCGGGGCAAGGGGCGCTGAGTGCGCGTGCTCGGGCTGCCCGTAGGTTGGGTCCGCGTGAGAGGAAGACCTGAAGCGCGACCGCCGGGGGAAAGGTGAGAGGAGGAGGGCCGGGGCGGGATGGGAGGCAGGGAGTGGGAACGGTCGGAGGGAAGGAAAGCAGGGGCCCACCCGGGTTAGTGGGTGACGGGCTCCTCTGAGGGAAAGGGTTTGCTGAGAAGAGAGGGAGCTGAAGGTGGTGGGGGTGGTTTTGGGGACTGGCGTTTGAGGGGAAAGTGGGGAGCGTGCCCTCAACGTTTGGGGTATCCCTTCAGGTGCGATTTCAACGACGTCCAGCCTTTGTCCTGTTCCCTGATGCCCCCCCACCCACTCTGGTATGAAAAAGAAGTGGAATAAACGAGCGAATTAATGAATGAGGGTGCTCTTGACCGTGAGCAGAGTGCAGGCTCTCTCTCCACTTCAGCCCCTGCCCTGAATAAGTGTGGTGTTTGTGTGAGAGAGAAGTCAGAACAGCCTTGCTCAGTTTTATTCATTCAGTTTATTAAATGTTTTTTGTCAGTGTGTGAGGGAAGCTAGGGCAGCCTTCCCCAATCTGGAGGAAATCAAAGCTGGCTAAATCACTTACACACACGCGCACACACACACGCACACACACACACACACACACACACACAGAGTGTGTATTCTTCAACAGCCAGGACTGTCTTGACTGGGAATTATGGGAGTTGTAGTCCTACACATTGGTTGTGGTTCAGTTGTAGAAAGCGGAGCAAGCGGGCCAAGCCAGGACTGGGGATTCCTCTTCCCTTGGACCCATTGCTCTGGGGCCATTGCTCTTGCAAGGATAATGTGAGAGGAGACGGCATGTGTTACCTTGAGCTCCTTGGAGGAAAGATAGGTAAACAGAGCTTAGAAAAACTTCCTGTTTTATGGGCCAGTGAAGTTGGGCACAGTCTATAAAAACTGGTGCCAAATAAAACTTATTTGTCTTTTAAATCGCCGTGGGATTCTTTGTTTTTGCTGTAAACATACCAACATCGCCACCCAGCACTTGCAGGAATATTAGTTGGGACTTTCAGAGTTCCTCGGCTGTCTTCAGGATTGTGACCATTGTAGTCTGAAACTTAACTGTTCCGGGCTCTTGATATAAATTCATCAAACTAGAAGACTTACTTCTAGTTTGATGTATACTTCTAGCTGCCCCCAGTAGATGATGTGTAGAGGGGCAGGGTAAAAAATCAAATCAAATAAATAAATACTTCACCCAAGAGGGGTTTCCACATGTGCTTGAATCTGCTAACCTCTGCCTTAGACGCGTGGCGGTTGGTGTCGAGTGTATGCTGTCAAGGGCCTCAAGGCAGTAGTCTTACTTATTTCTAGATTTTGGACTTGCCATTTGATCCCCCACCTACAACACTAGATCCCCAAGGGAGAATCCTCAAATTGTAGAGTTGAAAGGGACCTTGCTGGTCGTCTATCTAATTCACTGCCAGGTATGCACAGCTGAAGCATCCATAGCATATTGCCTTCCAAACACTGATTTAGAACAGATTAACTGTTGAATAGCTCTTTGGGGCAGGTTTGTTTGTTTTATGTTAGCTGGAATTTCCATTTTTGCAATTTGAATCAGTTGGTTTGAATTCTACTTTCTGGAACAACAGCATTTTTTTCTGTCTTCCAAAGGACAGCCCTTCAGATATTTGAAAATCACTACCATTTCACTTATCTATTTTCAAGGACAGCCCTTCAGATATTTGAAAATCATCACCATTTCACTTATCTATTTTCTTTTCTGGATGTGTTCTAGCTTGTCATATCCTTCTTAAACTGTGGCAACTAGAACTGGTCACAATACTCCAGATGAGTTCTAACCAAAGTGGAGTGGAATGTTTTTACTTCTCTTCATCTGGACACTTCAGAGAAGTAAAAAAATACCGCTCCACTTTGGTTAGAACTCATCTGGAGTATTGTGATCAGTTCTAGTTGCCATAGTTCAAGAAGGATATTACTGTATTTCTCTTAATCTGAACACTCCCCTTCATGGATTGCTGCCCCCTCATGGATTGCTGCCTTGTCGTGGGAAAGGGACTTGAGTAATTCAGAGAAGCTATGGGCTGTGCTGTGCACGGACACCCAAGGCGGACAGGTCAATATGGAGAGTTCTGACTAAATGCGATCCACCTGGAGCAGGAACTAGCAAGCCACTCCAATATCTTTGGCAAGAAAACTCTATGGAGAGAAGCAAACGGCTAAAAGATATGACGCTAGAAGATGAGCCCCTCAGGTCAGAAGGCGTGCAACATGCTACTGAAGAAGACTGGAGTACAAGTAGCTCCAGAGCTAACGAAGTGGTTGGGCCAAAGCCAAAAGGATGCTCAGCTGCAGACACGCCTGGAAGTGAAAGGAAAGTCCAATGCTGCGAAGAAAAATACTGGATAGGAACCTGGAATGTAAGATCTATGAACCTTGGTAAGGAATGCAAGGGAGATACGGAAAGTACAGAGTTCTGACTCTTGTCCTCTGAAGATGCCAGCCACAGAGACTGGTGGAGCATTAGGAAGAACAAACTTTAGAACGTGGCCAAAGAGCCTAAAAAACCAGAACAACCATGAGATAGGGAAAGTTATAGAAAATTGAATGCGGACTTCCAAAGAATAGCAAGGAGAGACAGGAGGGCCTTCTTAAATGAACAGTGCAAAGAAATAGAGGAAAATAATAATGCTCTGGTCCAAGGGTTCACGAAGAGTCGGACACAACTTAACTGAACAACAAAAAATCTGGACACTACACTTCTGTTTAAGAAATTTAGGCTTGCGTTAGTACTTTTGCTTACTGCAGCACAATGATTCATGTTTAGTTTATGATTTACTAAAGGCCCCACATCCTTTTTTCATGTACTGCTACTCAGTGAGATAGCAATCACCCTATTCTAATTCTATGTGGATGCAACATATGTTTTCAGATATGATGCAAGGACTGCCTTCCTGTTTCTCCTTATTTGGGTGCACTCCTGCTAAATACAGTGGCATTGTAGGATTAAATGTGTTGCATGAGAACACTGCCCATTTAATGTACATTTTGCTGTACGCTGCAACACTTATTCTGTGGACTCTGTAGAAAGAGACCTGAAAAATCCACCCATGCTATATAAGAAATGTCGTTGCTGTAATAACGCTAGGCTAGTGTGTGTTAAGACTGCTCAGCATAAGAATTGTAGTTAGAGGAAAGACGTGCCTTGCATCTGATATAGAAGATCTTAATTGAAGCCGTTGTTATTGCCACTTATCTGCTGGGGAGATGTTGATACTCTAAGCATCTTGAGTTGTTCGTAGTTACAGAGTGATTGTTTCATAAACACAGTTGACAAGATTTAACGGCCTGTTTATGTTTTTCTTAATCTCGTGGTGTCAGCTTTTAAGGCACTTTAATGGTAAACCTGAAATTGCCAATATCCTGTAGGAGGAATAAACAGAAAACTATTCTTGTTTATATTTGTTGTACTGTATTATAATGTGGAGTTATATTGAAAACAGCAAGCTACTCTAAAATCCAGTTCTAGTCTAGTGCTTCAGTTGCATGTTGTGTAGCTTCAGCTTTTTTTTCTTCCAGATGTTTTGGTCAGTAGTTCCCGCTAGCGTGGGCAATGATCATAGGTAGTGGGATTGTGGTCCAAAACAGCAACAGACACCCATAATTTGAGAAGTTGTTCCACTGAAGAACATCTGGGTGGTTCCTCTTTGGTGAAGGCTGGCGGAGCTACTGTTTCTGCCAAGCCTTTCCCCCCCGAAATGTTCATGAGTTTCTAATTAATTAGATTGCTCACAATCATGAGTTATCATTTAAGCCACCCTCACAGGGTGGCTTTGATTTAAATCAAATTGATTTAGATCATGATTTAAAAAATTTTAATGGATATTTTAGAAGACTTAAGTAAAAACAATGATTTTGTAATTTAATTTGTGATGTAAAGCAGTTTGATTCACCCTCCTACCCTTGGTTACTAAAGTTTGGGAATGAAGGAAACATGTAAAACTGAGAGTTATTGTCAGTGGAACAGATACATTTTATATATAAACAAGTACAGAATGCTGAAATTATTCTTAGATAAACTGAAATGCAATGTTTTAAGCAGGGTTGGAAGGTAGTTCTTGTTTTCATGTATAAACATTTAATTTTTGAAGTCAAACAACATGGTGCTTTGAATTTTTCCCAGCTGGACTCTAGCTAGGTATTATGCAACCTGTCTACTCTCACTTATCCTCTTTGTCAAGAGTAACTACTGTAGTGCTATTTCTTTTTCCACATGCATGTTTGTAAATGTTTCCCATTAAGTATAACTGAGATGTTGTCTTGCTAGAAATAAAGTCATGTAAAACACTGAAAAGTAAGCTCTAAACCAAATAGGAGGTGATCAAAAGCTGTGAACTCTAGAGCAACTTGCATTCCTACTACTGGTGCCTTTAGGGATCTCAGAACTCATGCTGGGGTAACAAAATTAGGGGGAAAGAAGCCGACGTTGCTGGTTGGACAATTTATTGTTTGTTTATTTAAAATATCTGTATCTCACTTATCTCCCAAGGTGGCTAACATCATTGAAAACATCTGGAACGCTTTTCCATGGGAAGCTAGGCTGGCCCCATCTTTGCTACCCTTCCACAAGCAGGCAAAGACCTTTCTCTTCTAGCAGGCTTTCCTTTTAATGGCTGATGGTCTGAGAGGGATTTTTAAATGGATTATTGTGCGCTGTGGATTTTAGTGTTTAATTTATTTTTAATATTTGAATACTGTACCTACCATTTTTAGCTTTTGAATATTGTCTAAATTGCACTGGAGTAGGACCATTGAATCAATAGGGAGTTGGTGAATCAACTCCTTTGTAAGTTCTGTTGATTCAAAGGTGCCTTCTCTAATTGTGAGTTTCATTAGCATGGCAAGTCACTAAATCCCTGTGGGCCTGCTCTAGTGCAATTTACTATATTTGTAGCTCTATCATCCTGTGATTCTGATCTTTGGCATTTCTTTAACCGTTGCCTAATACTGTACTTGATCCTGCAGCTCAAGTAAAAATCCTACAGAAAGTAATAGCAAGTGGTTA